ATGCTCATAAAATCGGATATTTTGTTCCATATATTTCTGCATAATTCCAAAAATGCCTACTTAAAGAAATTTCAAAGGAACTTTTAATTATATTTCACTAAAAAAGAATGAATCCTAAAACGTCAATAGATGTTGTGTAATTAAAATGCAAGATAATAATGAGATTAATATATAAAAATTTGCTATTGTTTCCTATGCATTTTCTTTACACCTGACTTTAGTAACTTTATTTTTTTTTTTTAGAAAAAAAAAATTTAAATAATATTTCCCGAGTTAATATCATGATAAAAAAGACAATGAACATTGTTACACGAATATCAAACAATGGTGTTATTACGTTATCATTTCAATGATTACGGATGAATTATCAAATTTAGTAATAAGAAAGGTGACCGGTGTGGGCGATTGTTTCATAAATTAGTTAATGTGGAAATTTTAATGGTTTTATCGCTTAAAAATAAGTTTGTCATAATTGAGGAGGAGAAAAGAATTTACGTCTTTCCTTTCAGTTTCTCGATCCTCTTGCATGAATCAAACAATATGTTTTTCTCAATCCGATTGTTGGGAACATTATTTATTGAGTTTTTCAACCTTTTTTGTTCCTCCTCTTTTTTAAATTCCCTCCTTTAGAATCTATTTACATACCCAAATTTGATGATTTTGATAAGTTACACTTAGTATTAACTCACAAAGACCGGAAAATTTACGGATTAAATTCAATAATAAAGAATTTCATTATCTAACTTTGGTCAACAATAAAACTTCGTTTTAGGTAATTTATCTCGCATATCATACTTTAATTGTTAATTCCTCCAACCGAATATTTTCTGTCATACAACAAATACATTGTTAAAAATACGAAACATTAAACAAAACCTTAGTGCATTCAAAGGAGTAATTTTACGCCATATTTTATTATAATGTTTGTGTAAATGTTTAGGATTTCAATGAGTTTTTTTTTTTTTTTTTAGCCAACTTACATATCGATCATATGCCAAATAACTAATATTATAACCATCCCAAAATAAAATTATCCGCAGTATTACCCCCCGAGAGAAAATAAATTTAATTTTAAGAAATATTTTCCATGTAATAATAATATTTACCAATTTACTTAATAAAAAACTAAATAAATACTTTGGTACTTATTGTTAATGATTTTTAATTGATTTCCCAAATTTATTAACTAAAAAATCTTATGTAATTCTAAATTTAGGTTTTATTAAAGCATCATGGCTAATTTGAAATCTCTTTAATCCATCTATGAACTACATTCACGAACAAGTTGATAACAGGTTTCATCATTGTACAATGAAAATAAAAAAAATATATTAGTTTAAAAACGAGGAAAAAAAGATCTTAAAATTTACCCTAAAAAAATTATCTATAATAAAAATCATTTATTTCCAAATAAAGAGTCGAAAAGATTATTAAGTTATATATCTTTCCATATGCGTGATTGTGTGAAAAAAAAGGGTTTAGTATTTCTTTTCTTTGGCTTATAAAAATGTGATACGATGTTAAAATTGACGCGTTCTTAATACTATATAGTTATACGTATTTAGTTAATTTATGCCACGGGTTCAATTTTTCCAATCACGAGCAAAGATAATTCTAATATTCTTTGCTTCTTTTTATTTATATTTCCGATATAAAATTTCCAATTACAATGTTTTTTTGTTACACGAACACAGGAAAATCTCCAATCCGCGAAGATATATCACTTTACACAAGAAAAACAGATTATTATTTCCTTGACATACAAAATTAGAAAGTCATAATACCTTTTATTGAGGTGGCCAAATACAGTAATATTAATATTAAATGTGTGATTATGCGGAATCGTTAATAACAAATATGATTAACGTTATTATTTAATGTAATTCGTTGACAGTGAATTTTGAATCCAATGATGTAAATGATATGAATGCATAGCTCGCGGTATTCTCAAAGTAACCAATCTTTATTTCTCAATCATTAACCATTGAAGAAATTCCCTTAAAAACCTTTTAACCTTTACCTTGTAATCCAATTTTGATTTTTCTGTTGTGAAAGAAAAAAGAAGGCAACAATTTGAATAAATTAATACCATTCCCAAATCTGAAACATGTTTTACATATAACAAATAACCTTAAAGAATTTTTATTTAAGCTTAAATAGAATTTTTTTTTTATAAAAAAAAAATTCTTTGTGATAACTAAACAATAATTTATTATTAGTGATGGTAAATATCATTTTTTTTAAAAAACCTTCCAAATTTAGTAGTGAATAAAAAAAAAACATAACAAATAACGCTGTTAAACCACAAGGTTCGCCACCCAATCAGAATTTAATAAAAATCACATTATAAGCCTCATACGCTAAATATAATTTGATGTCTAAATTTTGACAACAGAGTGTGAAAATACATTATAATGATTTATGCAAGTTGTATTGTTGTTGATTGATGCGCCTAAAAACCTTTGGTTAAATAATTATACATGAAACAGAAATCGAAACTAAACCAAAAATAATTTTTTGTAACAAATGATACCCTCTCACGATTAATTTAAATGAAACCCAAAAATTGGGAATCGATTTGTGTAAAAGTAATACGACTGTCTTACGTAAGTATGAAAGTGCTGCGCCAACCTTAATTCACATAATGCTTTTTTAATTTTTCCGTTTCATGTGATGTTAATATATATGTAATTCAAACATGATTAGAAAATTAGTTTGGGATTATTGAATATATTTTGTTATCTTCACAATCATCATAAAAGAATAAAAAAAAGCTGAAAATTAACGAGTTCTTTTTTTTACTTCACGTTTTCCCGTTACACATGTAAATTAATTCCTTATTTATATATATCTTTTCGTTTGAATGAATACGGAAAAAGCCTTATTATAAATCTATTTTTTGACAATGATGATGAAATTCGTGGACAAGAGCACAATTGTTAAATGCCATTTTTAGTACATAAGAAAACAAAGTCGAAACTTGGAAGCCTTTGAATTGGTAAAAAAAGTAAAAAGGCTTCTTTTTTTTTTTTAAGAGAGACAAAGTCATTACCTTCTTATCAAGATATCATAAAACGCGTAATTGATAGAAAAGCTTATTCGAGGAATGGGTTTACCAGGTATATTAATAGGTTCATTCATAAATTACATCTACGGTGATTGTGCGTTATCAATTCGAACGATAGCATGATAATGGAAAATGTTTGAATCTTCTCATGTAAAATGTCAGGTGTAACGATATAATGCTCATGCCAAAATTAGAATCAAATAAATAATAATAATAATTAAAAAAGTTCCTTTCATAAATCTTCATTATACAAATAATCATTATATTTGAATATAATCATTGTTGTCATCTCATCTATAAAGCTATTTACTATTTACCTAAATATGTACTGCTATGCCATGTCATGTTATGTTCAAATTATGTGAATGAAATGAACTGGAGGTTTTAATTATTACAACACTAATAGCGCGTAAAAGATATTAATCGAAAACAATAGAACCAAATTGGGACTGTTATTAAAAAATAAAAGGAGTAAAAAAAAATACATTGACACAAAATCTATAATTGAAAGAAATGAGAATATCCTTTCTCACAAGTGACGACCTTTTCCTTAACGTTTTAAAATCTTGGCGCAATGTTTGATATTACCCGCTGAATATTTCCATTAATGGACATTTTAGTAAAATAACATTTAACGAATTTTCCTGGTAATAAATATTAAACCCAATATCGGTGGATAGCGAAAATACTAATCTAAAAATCCAAACGCGGATTTCAAATAGCGGATCTGAGTTGAGGTCTGTGTTACCTTTGGATTTTCATATTTTGACGCCCAGATTATATGAACGGTTGGAAATGCTTTGATGCCCTAAAATCGACAACTATAAGATAAACAACATCCTAAACAATAGGCTTCAATTCATTATCTCAGCTGATTTGTGCGACCGTTCATTTTGGCGCGCCACTAAAAACGCTGATTTTATATTCTTGCTCGGGTCATATTTATATTTTACGCAAATAATCTTCGTTCTAAAATTAAAAATTCCAAGATTCTCAAGATAATTTAATGTTTATTCTATAATTAGCGTTAGGGGGGGATAGGAGATTATTGTTTTAACCTATCATCAATCATCCATATGGTCGATCAATAAAATGCACTTCGGAAATAACTAATTAATTCTCAATTTAAAATCTACATAATAAACAATAAAGGTGATTAGTTTTTGCTGGGGTAGCACATCAATTTTATAAAACACGCTGTTTAAAATAAGCTCCGAATTTAGTCTGACTTTTTGTACTCCGTTAGTTTAGTAAAAAAAATAAAAATAAAAATAAATAAATATACACTTGGGAGTCTAGTCTCTCAATATAAAAATAATATTTTTTTTATTTTGTCTTCCACATATGTCTAATGATTTCACTTTTCTGTCAATGGTTGAATTAATTTGTTAGGCTTTTTTACAATCGAGGGATATATATATTTTTTATACAAACTTTTTCTAAACATATATATAATATAGAAACATGTCATGTAAATATATAATTTTTTTTTTTATATTATTTGATTTAAAATATTTTGTTGACCGCAAATGTAATTACCATTGTTACCTTTTATGTCAAACAATAGTATCACATCAGTTCTTCCAAACTTTTTTATTATAGAGTGTGGCTGTATATATATCCCATAAATTTAACCTTTTTCTTTTCTTATCCTGGAATTTTTTTTTCTTTCTTTTATTATTGAAGAGGCCTTTTCTCTTTATATATATATATATAGAATATTCGAAAAAAAAATAGAGTTTTTTTTTTTTTTTTTTTAAAAAAAAAAATTTAATTATATACGTTATTCCTTATATCAAAAACTACATTTTTTGATTTTCTTAACGACAAAAAAATATAAACCAAAGAATAAATCTTTCTTAATCGAAAAGAAATAAATTTTTATTAGACATTTCTCGACTTTACGCACGCTTTGTTGACACTAAATAAAATAATGGGTTTACCAATATTATCAAATCGTAAAAGAGTAATTTTGCCAATATATAAACAAACAGATCATACACCAGCATTTTACAAAGATTCTATTACAAATAAATTAATCCCAACCGCTTATTTTCTAAAAAATTTAGATGAAATTGGTCCACAACACTGGCAAAATAATTTATCTTCCGATTTCTTATTAAGAGTCGTCAGGACGACTGAAATCGATTATTATTGTAATTATTTCATATCTTCGAGCGTAAACAATGTAAAGGGAAATGCGACAATAATAAATTGTAGTAATTCAACCGTTTCGGCTTCGGAGGCTGCTGAAATCACAAAGTACTTTAATGTCATGTTATACAATTATCAGCAACACATTTATAATATTTATCAATCACAACAGCATCAACAACAAGTTTATAACAATTTTCATCAATCACTGCAACATCAAAATCAACAACAATTTACCCCACCCGCTTCTCCCCCCATATCGCCCACGTCTCCTACATTCAATAAACATTCTTCTACTCCTTCTTCCTCAACGTATTATTTTTGGTCTCATACATTAGTATTGGCGACACAATCGGGCTTCTTCAATCAACTGCTAGGTCCAATAAATTCATCAGGAAATCGTTCTAAATATTCAAATACTTTAACAATTCCAATACCTTATCCTGAAGTTTTTGAACCCATACTACATTGGCTTTATCATCATGATGATGATGCTTGGTTAGATTTAATTAATACGGAAAATTTTCCTAAATTCTATGCCAATGTATCATTCTTAAAGTTAGGAAGAGAGGCTTATGATATATTAGATACTTTTATTGAAGAAGTTGAAGAAACTGGCGTTGATATTAATTTTGAAGATATAGTTGAATTATACTAAGGGCAGTCAGTATTTTACTCGACAGGAGCTTGATGAATTGTAATTATAGGAAAGGAAATAAAATTAAAAATTAAAAAAAAAATTAAAAAAAAGGTTAATCATTTCTTAGCTATCGTGATTGATCAAAGGAGGAAAAAGAAAGGGTGAATTTCAATCATATTTTAGTTGGATGTGAGATTTTTTTTTTTGCTGGACGATAATGTAAAAGACATTGTGTGAAGAAAGGCTTTGACAAAATAATTGACCTTTGAAGCGTTTCCATAATAAAAATTCTGTGAATTTGATTGATGGAATTACGTAAAAAAAGAAATTTCAATAATAAAAAAAAAAACATGAGAAAAACGACAAAAAAAAAAAAAAATTTCAACAGCAATTTTATAAATCGATTATAAATCGAGACAAATAAGGTTTATATTCGTTTTTATTTATGTTTATTATTTTTATCATTATTTTTAATTATCGTCCCTGGTATTGCAAAAGAAATGTAAATAAGAAATCAACACAGATTTATGTTTTTAATTCACCCCCAAAATAACAAAAATAACATGGTATTCTTCGAATGATTCGAAATAATTAAATTAAGATTTATCTTTTGAATACGGTGAATTCTTTAGGAAGGAAAGTGCTGCGTTAACGTTCGACTTTCTTTTCCTTTCCATTCACATTAACAACCAAATATATATATTTATGTTTATCTTTTATCATTATCATTATCATATCTTTATTTATTTACCGTTTATCCTCTTTATTCTCTTTCTCTTTGTTCTTTTTTGACTCTATTCATTACATTTATTCTTAAAGTCGTTAAGACAAAAAATTATGAAAAAAAAATCTCCTTTTTAAAAAAATTCCTTATATTTAAGCCTTCTCTAATTAACATTCAGGGATTTGCTATTATCACTTATTCTTTAGTTTTTTGTCCCTCAATAATTTCATTGTGTGACAAGTGCCCAATTACAATCACACGATTCTTTTCCATTTCTCTCTTTCTTTCTTTCTCATTTATTCATTCATTTCATTTAAATATGATCGAAAATTTTTTTATCCTATTTTATTCATTTTTGGATTTGACCGGATTAGACATACGGAATGGTTTTTTTGACAAATTGAAAAAGAAAGACGTGGAAAATGACTTTTTTTTCAAGAATAACACTACATGTGTGGTATATTTTATGTAACTTTCTACTTATTACTTTCAATGTATCATAATGTTAGTACAAAACTATATATGACTTTTGATAAGTCTGAAAGATTTTTTATGACCTTTCTCTTTATAGTGACAGTACTTTTTTTTTTTTCTTTTCGCTGTAAATTTTTTTGTTTTTTCTTAATTTATTTATTCATTTTTAAATCTATTTTAGCTCTTTTGTTTTTGTTCTAAAATAAAAAAAATTTAGATAATTTTTTTTTCTTGTAATAAACTATTGAAATCAAAAAATAAAAATTTATTTGCAGAAAATAATTACTATCAAAAATGATAAAAAATTAATAAATACCATTTTTAATAAATTTTATTACAGTCTAAGGGATAGTTATCTTTACCAATTCTAACTTTCTTTTTGAAAAGCTTGCCTTCTTTGAAAGCTTTATCATTAATAGTTGTCTAGGCAGATAAGATATAGAGAATCATTATTCCTATATTTGATTCTAAAGTTTTTTTTCACAAACTCTATAATAAGATTGATATGGTATTTGCCAGTTGAAGTAGTTCTTTCAGCTAATTTACAGATTAATATTAAAGATTTTAAGTTTTTATAGCTTTCCCATTGTTATTGAAAATAATTCTTTTTAAACATGTTCTGCTAAGTTACTTTATTGCGATAAGTAAATTCCTTATTGTCAGACTTTATAACTTTAGGGAATCTTATATCCTACAGATATCCAGAATTTCTTAGAATTATTTTGTTTAACTTTATAAACTTAAAGATTTAGAAACTTAGGAAAATGTAGAAAATTTATTTATTCTAAGTGACAAACTCAAAAGCAAGTTAGTATAATAGTTCACAATCAAATTCTAAATAATAGACATGTAGAAAAAAAAAGTCATTATATTTCAAAGTTGATTTCTTTATTATTTGAAACTCATAAGTTATAAGAACTTATAAGAGAGTTATAAACTTATAAACTAGCAATTGAATTTATAAACTAGTAATTGAGTTAATTTATAATTTAAGCAAAAAGCTATTCTATTTATACAAAATTAATTTGCTATAATTAACTAATTGTTAAGCTATAAACTAACTAAATTTGTAATTATAACTGCTAATATATAAGATATAATAAGTATATAAAATATAATAAATATAATAAATATAATAAAAATAATAAAAATAATAAAAATAAGCGAAATCAGAAATATCAGTCTTATAAGAAATATAAGAGATATATTAAAAATCAGGTAGATCAGGAATTATACAGATCTTTTAATTTGTAATCAATATAAAATTAATTTCAGTAACTTCTGTAAATCAATTTTTCAATAATGAATTTTTTAGCTAGTAATACTATAAAAAGTATTCATATATATTTTCAAAGCTTTTTACTTTAAATTTAAATACTTATAATCAAAACAAAGAGATTTATATTTTAAATTTAATTTCTCAGAAATTTTTTTATCCTTTTCTTTTGCTGAACTTATTATCTTTTTAAGTTAATTCTATCTTTTTTTATAGGAATGAGTTATATTTTAAGTCTATTTTCTTATTAAATAAATCTTCTAATACAATAGAATATAAATACTTTTTTTTCAATTGATTATCATATCTTATATATCAAGCATAAATGTCATGCTTATTTAATGAAAAGTATGTTAGCCTTATTTGAATTTAATATGATTTTTTTGGAAAAAAATTATAAGTCAAGATAAGGCTATAATATAAAGATATAAAATCCAAATCCTATTACCAGTCTTTTTATCTCAATACCTTTCTTAGAAGAAAAAACATATAAACATATTCACTAGAATACTTCTCTTTTTTTATATTTTTATATATTCTTATAATAAATAATATATTACTTTTACATTCAAAAGGTTTTATACCTTTATTATATTACATGATAGTATAAGTTAAATAGAGATATATAAATTAGAGAAGTGATTTATAATCATTTATTATACTTTATTTTACTATAAATTCTTAATATTTATAATATAATAATTTGCTACTTTATGTATTTTCATTATAATTGAAGAGAAAGAATGCTTTTTTGCCTTTAAATAAATTCACTATATATTGTTATAAAGATTAGCTTTAGTATCAAGACCACACTTTTTTAAAAAGAATTCAAGTGATCTTTTCTTTTCTATTTTAGAATAAGGATAAAGTTTTTTAAAATATATATGAATATCAATTGATATATATTCTAACAGTTTAAAAAACTAGAAGTAAAAGAATTATTTATACTAACTTTAATTTTAATTAGAATTATATATTCTTTCTCTTTCAGATTTTCTTTATCTTTCTCACCTTTCTTAAAAATATTTCTTATTTTCTTATGATATTTCTACTTTAGCATTTTTCCTTTGTTTCAAACTTTCTAGTTATCCGCTTTTACATCTATTTGAGTAGGTTAAGATAATAGATTCTTTTCATAATAAAATGCTAATCATAATCAAAATTATTAAAACTAATATAAATATTAGATGCAAAAACTTACTAGTAAAAAGCAAAAGTTTTTAATAGATTTTTTTAATTTCTGCAAATAATTATAATTCATCATAAGTCTGATGCAGTTTTAATATTAATAAAACAAATCTATTATAATAGCTTTAAATCATCTTTCTAGTTCTCATGAAGTATAAGTTTCTATATCTCATATAAGAATAAGAATACAATCTCATAAGAGAGCTGAAATAGAAAATTGTTGTCTTCTACTGGTTAAAAATCTTTTTTAGAAATATAGAATACATGTAGATAGAGAGATTCAATCCCTTTCTTATATATATATTTACTCAATATAGATTATCTAGAAAGTTAAATTCCATTTTCTCAACTATCTTTCGATAAAATGAGTATATATTATCTGATACAATATTAAAATTATTATTTTGAATGGCTTTAATAGCTGTTTTTTTTTACTAGTACTACTCGTATAAATTTGTAAATATAACTTTTTTTCTGTATGATAATCACAAAAAGAAAAAACTTTAATATGCTCTATTTTTAAAGTTTTCACTTTGCTAGAAAGAATATCTTTTACTTTTTCTTCACATTCATCTGGATACTCCTCTTTTAGAATAAGAATGTTAAAGAATACCTAAATACTGAAAAGTATTACTATTGCTTTTTGGTTATTAATAATAGAGTCATAGTGATGTAATACATAATGGATTTTCCATTTATTTTTTCTAATGTCTCTTTTTATCAATGACTATAAATAAAATATCTTCTTATTTAGATAAAGCATCTTTAAGAATTGTGATTATCAAGAATTGTGATTAATCCTTCATCATTTTTTACATTTTAAGATGAGATATCCTGTAAGTAGTTTTTACCAAAATAGTGAATTACTTGATCTCCTATTTTATTTTTTCAGCCTTTGAATGAAAAGAAAGGCAGGGGTATTTAAAAATTCTGAAAGTTCTAATTAGATTATGATAATTTTTTTGGATATGATAACTAAGTATACCTTTTAGTATAATATAATACCTTAGAAAAAAGTTTAAAATAAAACAATCATGATCTAAAAAGGTTTTTTGAATATAAATAGCCCATAATTGTTTAATAAGAATACCAATACTAGTATAAGTATTAATATAAGAACTTCAAAAAAAACAAAAATTTAGATCACGTGTGTATTGATAAAATTGATCAGTTTTGTGTTTATTTTCAATAAAACTAACAAAGTCTATATTATAGTTGATAAATGTATCATTAATTAAATGATTTTTAAATTCACATTGTAAAGAATTAACATTATATGTAATAAATAAAAAAGTGTGTAAATGTTAGAGCTCTGAATGAGTCGAGTTGACTCATGAGTTAAATGAGTCAAGTCGA